AATATAAATATAAATACTGTACATATATTGAGGTTTAAGGAATAGGTGACTTGAACACCTAACCTTCCGTGTGTAAAACGGTTGCTCTACCATTGAGCTAATCCCTTTTTTATAAATTAAAATACAAAAAATTCTAGACACTTTATATGTTTTTTATCTTTTGTTTATTAATTATAATAATTTAATGGCTTAATTTTAATAAACATGTCGTATAAGCCGTAGTATATAAAATATTTTCGTCATAACTTAGTTAAGTGACAGAAAAATATAAATATAAATATTTATTTTGATATTTTATCAGGCTATTTCAATGTAATAATAAAATATAAATATATATATATATTTAAACATAAGAAATTTATCAGGATATATTTAATAAAATATACATGATAAAACATGTGTCTGTATTTACGGCTAGGTATAGTTTTTAGTTCTTATTGCTGTTAAATAAGAACTATATTTTCATTTATATTTAAACGATTAAGGTTTAACTATTATATATCAAAGATGAAACAGAGTAATGTAAACCGTCTAGTATAGGTGCAGGATATATACCTAATACTACAGTAAATATAACTAATGTAAGTAATATAAAGAATTCACGTTTATTAACATCACTAATATTAGCCTCGAAAAATTTACTGAAAGATCCAGCAAAAGCTATACGGTTAAACATATATATAGTATATGCAGCACTAAACACGATAGATGAACTAGCAAATACACCTAATAAAGGTAATCTTTCAAATACACCATAAAGAGACATAAATTCACCCACAAAATTTAAAGTAAGTGGAACACCACAATTACCTAAAGATAAAAGGAAAAATAAGATAGAAAACAATGGCATTATTTGTGCAATACCTCTGTAGAAACTAATTAATCTAGTTCCAGATCTATCATATAATACACCACCAGCACAAATAAATAAACCACTAGAAACAAAACCGTGAGCTAGACCTAAAGCTATACCACCTTCTATTCCTTGTATAGTATTACTAAACACACCTATCAGATAAACTGCAGCGTGTGATACAGAACTATATGCTATAAGTTCTTTAATGTCTATTGTCCTTAAAGTACTAAAACTAGCGTATATTATAGTGATAACACCTATAAGATATATTATATAAGTATAATCTAAAGAAGCTTTAGGTAGTAAAGGTAATATTAATCTAAAAATACCGTATAAACTTAATTTTAGTACAATAGCTGCTAAAATAATACTACCACTTAAAGGAGACTCAACATGAGCCTTTAATAATCAAGTATTTAAGAATATAGTGGGTGTTTTTACAGCAAAGGCAATAAATATACCATAAAATAAATATAATTGTGTTGAATAATTAAAATTAGTTTTGTATAAAGCATCAAAATCGGTTGTACCCATTATAGAAGACATAGCTAATATTGATAATAACAAGAATAATGAACCAAATAAAGTGTACAAGAATAGATAAAAACTCGCTCTTACTTTGTTACTTGAACCGAATAGACCTATTAGTATAAATAACGGAGGTAAGATACTTTCGAAAAAAATATAAAACAATAAAATATCTAATACTAAAAATACGGCTAATAATAACGATTCTAATAGTAAAATTATTATTACAAATGACCTTACATTTTCATTAATAGAATTTCAATTACTTAATAATGCAATCGGTGTAATAATAGTTGTCAATAAAACAAAATATATAGATAGTCCATCTAAACCTAGATAGAAATCAAAAGAGCTGATTTCATGATATTCTTGTACGAACTGGAACTGGTTACTACTGAAATCAAACAAAATAAAGATTATTAATGAAACTATAAGGTTTACGATTGATGTGGTTAAGGCTATTGTCTTAATTCGTCTAATATTTAAAAAAGATAATTCGTAAGACATACCCGTAGATATAGTAAGTACACCCAATAAGGGGATTAATAATAAAAGTGTAAGTAACATAATTTATATAAATATAAATAAAACAAATTTCCCTCAGGATTAAATATTAAATTTAATCTTTACTAACGCCATATACAACTATATGGCAAGTGGCTATAAAAGAAGTTATAATTTATCTTAGACCTAAACGTAGAGTTTTCTGTATATAGACATAATAAAGAGATAAATAAAAATAATTTATTTTACAGTAAAGAAATATTACTAGGTATAATTTCAAAACTGTATAGTATACAGGGAACAAGTATAACGAAAGATATAACTATAGGTAATAATATCGTTCAACAGAAAGACATTAATTGATCAAACCGTATTCTAGGAAATGAAGCTCTAGCTCATATGAAAATAAAAATCATTGTACATGATTTTACACCTAAAGTTAAACCATATAACAATCCTTCGATTAAAGGACCGGAAAATAAGCTTTCATTATGTAAATTATTTATATAATATTCAAAATTTATATATTGCATTAATGTAAACAAAGGTAAGTAATCATATAGATAACCACCTAAGAATAAAATACTAGTTAATATACAAATTAAAACAATACTACCATATTCAGCTAAGAAAAAGAATACGAATACAACAGCTGCGTGCTCTGTCATAAACCCACTAACAAGTTCCGATTCAGCTTCAGCTAAATCAAAAGGAGCTCTGTTAGTTTCAGCGATAGATCCTATGAAGAATATAATAAATACAGGAAATAGAGGTACTATAAATCATATGGCTCTTTGAGCTTCAATATTTACAGTAAGATTAAGGCTACCTGTTAACATAACTACAAGTAGTATAGCTGAACTTAAGATTAACTCATAACTAATTAATTGTGCAGTACTTCTAAGTGAACCTAAAAAAGCATATTTACTGTTAGCACTTCAACCAGCTAGTAAAATACCATATGTAGATAAAGAAGATACGGCTAACATATAAAGTATACCTAAATTAAAATCACTTAAAGATAAACCCGGACCATATGGTACAACTAAATATCCCAATAATGAGAATATTAATGTTATAACCGGACCAAGGAAAAATAAACCTAAGTTAGCTTGTGTAGGTGAAACATACTCTTTTAGTAGTAGTTTCAAGGCATCCGCAAATGCTTGTAATAAACCATAGTACCCTACTACATTAGGACCTAATCTTCTTTGCATACTAGCCATGGTTTTTCTTTCGGCTACAGTTACATAAGCTACAGTTAATAATACAGGCACAGTTACTAATAAGACTTCTAGAACAGAAATTAAGGTAGGTATGTATAACATTGATTGATATTTGATGTTTTATATTTACTCTCTATAAAATATCTTAATAAATATTTTATAAGCATAATGTATAAAGTTAAAAATAAATTTATCACCTTTATAAATAATATTTACCTTGATATAACTATATTTATATAGGCTACAATTTATCCATTATTTAAAGGGTTATTCTTATCTAAGACTTGAACTTAGATCTAGATATTAGAAGTATCCTGCTCTACCATTGAGCTAATAAGAGTTAAACCTTATTTTGCTTAACGCTAATCCGACAGTAATCAAAATAGCCAGATTATTTATACCACCTAGATAAATAGTATTCAGAAACAATCATACTGTATATTTTAAATACTAAATAAACAAATAAATATTAAGTAAATTAAAACACAAATATATATTATAAGGCATATGTAAGCTAAATACGAAAATATATATATATATATATGTATGGTTTAAGTTGTTTCGTGCAAAGAAAATGCAAAGCAAAAACATTTTAAGGGATATGGAGGAATTGAACCCCATATTTAAGATCTGCAATCAAAACGTAGAACCATCTACTGCATATCCCTAATGTAAATATTATATATATTTTGCCCCCCTATAAGCTCGTCATACATATATTATTTACACCAATACATAAAACTTTGTACAAACTAACCAAGATAAATGGAAAAAGTTATTTATAATATTTAAAATTAATTTTTATTGTTATTATTAGAATTTCTTTGTGCTTCTATAAATTGTACTCTAGAATTAAGCAGAGTGGCACGGGCTTCTGCCCGTGGTTTTTCTCAGTTTAATTCAGCTACATCCTTTTCTATTTGATTCTTTAGTTTAAATTCATACTCCGTAGTAGGTATAGTTGGTATATTTTTATATACCGATTGGGCATAAGCCAATTTTTCCTCCAATATTGCGCGATAATTTAAATTATTATCTCTTTGTTCTATGGCTTTTTCTAGGTCCATTGTTCGGAATTGCTTAAGTATATGTGAGTTATAATCAATATGTTTACATATTTCATCATGTATAGGTACTACACCACCAGGAACGTTAAACCCAGCCTCATCAATAATTTTTGGAGGTAAGGGTACGTAAGTTGGGATTCTAGCCGGGAAAGGTCTAGATGCAGCATCACTTACTCAAAAACTAGGATTTACACCACTATGACTAGGGTGATTGGGGTGTAATTTTTTATCCACACCTTTACCTTTATCAGGCTTAGCCTCAGACTCCGATTCTGAGTCCACATCCATAGCATTATATATTTTAGGTTTAAATTCTTTTACTGAAGGTGAAGATTTGTCACCTAAACCCATAGTATCCATACCAAATAAAAATTGTCTTAAATTGAAATTAATACCTTTAATACCTAAATATTCCGTCAAGAAACCTATTATACCGGTGTTAAGAGTTCAGCCAAGTAGTCCTATTCCAATATTGTTAAAAAAATCACAATATTCTATATGAAAGCTACCTGAAATTAAATATTTAATCGATGCCAATATTGTAAAAGTTAAAATAGCCCCACAAAATTTTGCTAGTGTAAAAAGCGCCGATGTTTCTAGTACTATTAAAAAAAATCGTGTTCTCATATGTATAAAGGTAATGGTATAGATTTTATTGTATTAATACAATAAAGATAAATATAGCTATAAAAAAAAATTTTTTAAACAACAACCAAGTATCGATTCCTATACCATTACTAATTAATATATTAATATAATTATTATACAATTTAATATTTATATAAAAATATTTTTATAGATACAAAATATAATTTTAATATTCTTATCTAAGACTTGAACTTAGATCTAGATATTAGGAATATCCTGCTCTACCATTGAGCTAATAAGAGTTTATAATTTTTAATATACATAATATATATAATATTACACATAAAATATGATACAATTATATTTAATAATTGTATCAAATAATATAACTATTGTACTTAAATAACGTGTAATAAAAATAAAAACATCAATATAGCAAATAAAACCGTAACTTATGCATATGCAAACCCTAAGATAGCGTAGATAAATATTTTTCCCTATTTAAGAAAGATTTATATCTACACCTAAGATTAATGCCGCGAATACTACACCTATACCTACACCGGTTCCTCTTAAACCTGTAGTTATAGATCCACTAAATTAGCTACTTGTATAATTTATGTATATATAAATTATTATTATAGATGCCTTTATAAAGTTGATAGGCCTTTTAATATTAAATAACTTGCTTTGGACATATATAAGATTAGCCACATCTTGCTAAATTGTTTAGACAAATAACGATCACAATTAATTTAAGTTTAAGAAAAATTTTAAGGGATATGGAGGAATTGAACCCCATATTTAAGATCTGCAATCAAAACGTAGAACCATCTACTACATATCCCTTATATATATAATATATAAGTAGCCCTCACTCTTAGTCATATATATATATATATATACATCAAAACCAGATATACTAAAAAAAAAAAGATTTAAGTTACATATTTTTTTGTGTATTTTAACAATTTCCTACTTATTTCAATATGTTCAGTATATTTATCTCTAAATTTTACTTTTAATTTTAAGTCATCTCTATTATCGGGTTTATTCATTTCATTAGCTATAGCTCTTAATTCCTCCGATATATTGTTACTTTTTTTCATAAGCTCTATATAAGAGTTCTCATAAAATAAAGGTTTTAATATAAACCTTCTAAACCTAAGAACAAATAAATAAGTTTCGACGGGTGATTTATCTGCAGCCTTACCCTTAAAAATACATATAATATAACGTAGTGAACGCAATCATACTTTATGGTAGGAACTAGACCTAAATTTATCCAAGACTTTATTACTTATGTAATTATATGAAGCAGAACATATAAAAAGAAAAAGCTTATAAGACATAAAGGTAGAAAAAAGAGTGAAAGAAACGCCCTTAGAGTATTCAGGATAACAATAGGGAATAAAAACCGAAATAAGCATGTATAAAAGAATAAATAAAGGAATTTTGACTATAAAAGGTTTAATAAAGTTAAACATTTTAAATAAAAATTAATATATTTAAACATTTTAAATAAAAAGCTTAATCTTGGGGGTTAGACTCCGTAGAGTCTATATTAGGATCAAAACTGTCGGCAGGTCTACCGTCATCGCTACTACCACTACTCTGTAAGTTATTAAACCTGTCGTTAGCAGCTCAGATCCTATCCTCTATAGCCATACGTTTTTCAGTTATGGCTTCCATAGCCTTCTCCCTGGCTTCATTAGCGTCTATTTCTGCTTTAGTAGCATTTCCGGGGTTCTCGTATTCGTTTCTCCGAAAATTATTTGTAGATTCATCCAACATGTCAAATTCATCACCGGTAGTAGTCTCGTGGATTTCTAATTCAGTTTCAAGTTCGATTATTTTGTCCTCTAATTCTTTTTCTGTAGCTAGTAAAGTTAAAGTAGCGGAAAAGCTTTGTAAAGGTAGACTTACGAATGCATGAGGTTTAGGCGGACTACTTAAAGCTCACTCTAAACTATTGTAACTTCTATTCAATAACGTTTGTAAGCTATCACTATAGAATTGTGGAGTTAATCATGGATAACGGCTAGCCGCTTTACCTTCAACTAACTGTACATAGACTATGTATAAGAATAGTCAAGTAGCTACCACACTAATGATAGATCCAAAACTACTGATTAAATTTCATCCTGCAAAGGCATCAGGGTAATCGCTAATTCTTCTAGGCATTCCTTGTAGCACTATATTTTTTTTTATTTTATTATATTACCATAAAATTTATAGTGTTTAACTAAAATTCCATATTAGTAAATACCGTATACAGCCCTTTATTTAAAGAGGATATGACATGTTAAGAGATTTTAATATAGTACTATAACCATCTAATCTAGTAACATATTCAGGGTTAAATGCTTGAATGGATTGTTCAATAATAGAACCTTTATTCATTAACAAGACAGAAGCTTTACCTTGTGTATTTATTAAATTGTTAAGCACGTGAATTTTCTTTACTACAAATAACTGTGTATCGCTACTAATACCTGTAGGAAAGTTTATTGTAAGCGCACCTGTTACATGATTTGTAACATAAACTTTTACATTGTAAAGTTCTACCAAATGATGGTATTGTTCAATAAATGTCCTTAAGTGATGTAAAGTTCAATCTAAATCAAGTATAACACTTTCTAAACTTTGTAAAGGTAAACTTACGAATGCATGTGGTTTAGGCGGACTGCTTAATGCTCATTCCAAACTATTGTAACTCCGGTTTAATAATGTTTGTAAACTGTCACTATAAAACTGTGGAGTTAGTCATGGATAACGGCTAGCCACTTTACCTTCAACTAACTGTACATAAACTATGTATAGGAATAGTCAAGTAGCTACCACGCTGATTATACTACCAAAACTACTGATTAAATTTCATCCGGCGAAGGCGTCAGGATAGTCACTAATTCTTCTAGGCATTCCTTGTAGCACTATTTTTTTTATTTTATGTTATTGCCATATAGTTTTTAGTGTTTAACTAAAATTCCATAATAGTAAATACCGTTTACAGCTATTTATCTTAGAAAAGTACCTATAGATATTCTTTAATATAACTTAGCTTAATAATTAAAAGGATAAGCTACCTTTTAAATGACTCATTTAAATCCAGAATAGTTTGCATTTGTTTACTTATTTGTGGTATATCTTTGGTATTTAAAGCTTCTAATCTAGTCTGTTCAGCTTGCGCTTGCTGAAATAATGTATGTATATCAGAACTCTTAGTGTTAATTAATCTATCTAAGATACCTATACGTTTACTTAAATTCTTAGATATTTCGTTAGACATCTCTGAAGGTACATCTATAGACAAACCACCATGAACATCTTTTATAACGTTTATGTCATTATCCGATACAACGGTATTAAATTCCTCAATAAATTTACTTAGTTGAGGTAGTATATAATCAATTTGAGAAATAATATCCAGTAGTTCGGCTAAGCCACTTTGAAGTGGTAAGCTTACAAATGCATGAGGTTTAGGCGGACTGCTTAATGCTCACTCTAAGCTATTATAACTTCTATTCAATAAAGTTTGTAAACTATCACTATAGAATTGTGGAGTTAATCATGGATAACGGCTAGCCGATTTACCTTCAACTAACTGTACATAAACTATGTATAAGAATAGTCAAGTAGCTACCACGCTGATTATACTACCAAAACTACTGATTAAATTTCATCCTGCAAAGGCGTCAGGATAATCACTAATTCTTCTAGGCATTCCTTGTAGCAAATATATATATAATTATACATCTGACCTTAAAGTAAGGCGAAGGCTAACTAAACTAATCTATTAAATTAAATGGCTAAAATAAATATAAATATACATACCTATATTTCTATAGGTGTTGGACTATGTCTTTATCCAAGGAAAATGGATATATCATGTGTAGTCTCTGAAGATCCTACGTATATATTTAAATATCTATAGGTTTCCTGCTAATTTCCCTACTTTTTGTATACTAGATAGGTCTAGCATCGCATAAAATATTCGGATGTTTTAGCAATTTATGATATGCAAAATATAATGTTACCATTATAAAGGGCCTACAATTTGACCAAGGAAATGTTGAGGGAAGAATGTTACATTACAAACAAATTGGACTATGTCTTAATGGTACAGACTTTACGCTATACCATCTCTTTCAAGTAGTCTCTGAGGATCCTACTAGAATAATTATATATTATCCCTTGGTTTCCTGCTGATAGTCTAGATATACTTAAGATTTTTACTTATAAAATTAAATATAAAATTTATATAGTACTTAAGCCTTTAAGAGTTTCCAGCATATAGAAAGATTTGAAGGGGCTAATGTAATTACCTTTTATTTATATCACGAGGACTTGATTGTAATATTCAATATTCACCATTTAAAAACACAAACTGTGTTGTATCAAATTTTTTTTATATTTGTTAACCTTACATTAAAATGTTGTCTAGTTGCGTTAATAGAAGGAAATATTAATTCTTTATTTTCCTTATTATAACAAAAAACTAAACTACCACCTATACCATATTGAGGTGAAAGCTTCCCGGTTTTCCCTTTATAAGGGTGAGTATTCTTTAAATAAAACTCTTTAATCCCTTGTTTAATAGCTTCTATTGTCTCGGCTGATGTAGTGGAACCACATTTAGGATGGTTTACTTTTTTAAACCGATCTTTCAATTTATTTATAGTGCAGATACTGTGAGTAAAACCAAAAGAACTCCCAGCTATTTTCAATATATTGTAGCTTGGTTTGTAATGATCTATCCATTTTTGTTCTAAGGTTATACAAGTTATAGTATCGTTTCTACAAAAATATAATATACCTAAGGATAAATACGTAAGTTTATGTTTTAACATATCTCTGATTATTACAGATTTACCCTTGCCAGATTTGGCATGGTAAAAATGACTAGTCATTCTTTTAGTCAAATTAATACTACTTCCTATATATGTCACATTGTTTATGTTATTTATAAACATATAAACACCAGGTTTGTTTTTTAAACTTTTGTATATTTCTGTCTTGTTTCAATATTTGTGAAAAACATTATGAAATTATTTGGTGAAGGACTATTACTAGTCTTGGAACTTGAAGTTGAATATTTTCTTTTCTTTTGTGATAAAAAGGCTCTTCTTTTTAACCAAACCCCTATGAAAAGTAATCAGAAGTGTACTTTACCTAACATTCTGTTATAATCTAAACCTAACATTTTAGGTATTCAGAAATATCATGCACTAAATAAAGCAAATACGGCTCCCATACTTAAAACGTAGTGGAAATGCAAATATTAATACCTAAGTATTAATAT